AGAGAGAGAGAGAACTTGCGATTCATCCAGTAAAAAATATAACATGGATAACATACCCATCATTCACAAAATTCCATGCCGCTTGCAAAAGGGCTTTTTTTTTTTCAACTTTGAAATTCTTGATCGCCTTAATAAGAGGCTTATATGGGTGGTGAACAATGAGATCAAAGCCCAGGGTAGAGAGCACCACCCGCTCCCCTAGTAAAATAAGCTCCCGCTGCTGCTTAAATACCAGTATCTGCATTTAAATAACAGTCTAATCGACTTTAAATCAAAAAGGTTACTGGAGCTTCACAAAATCCAACAATTACTGGGACCCAGATAAACAAATAACAAACTTAAAAAATAGGAGGACAATGACCAATGGAGACAGGGAAGAATAATGTTACCCTTTGATTATGCCCCTGGACAGCCTTTCTGTATCTGAGTTCGTAAGAGATGAGAATAACATTCCATAACGAACGAGGAGTTCCTTCCACTTTCCCAGCAAGGAACATGCAAGCTATTGCAATGGTCTGCAAAGAAAGGCTGTCATTTTAAGGACAAGAACTATCCCAAGGGAAATTCAAGGGACATTACTCCTTGGGGTTTGAGGTTTTCAGTAACCAACAACATAAATACAAAATATTACATCACTAATCCATCCTACAAAAAGAATCAGAAGGAGTGTCTAATTAAGTACTTGGCAGAAGGTGAACAGATCCATATGGAATCAATGTAAACAACAAATATAAAAGCATCACACTATGAATAAACTAGCTAAATGAAAGATTCAACAGAACTCCCCCCTTCTCCACAGGGCACATTTTTTGTTTTCTATTGCAACAAAAGGTTCAGCACAAAGATGGCTACAGTTTCAATCACTTTTAACTACATTTTATATTTGCCAAAATATATAAATATGGCAGAGAGAAGACTGAGATCAGCAATTACATAATATCTCCAACAAGTGAGAATAAGCTACTATCACCTTTGGTCTATAGTTGAACAACCATCTCACCACACTAAAAGATTTTTCTCATACATCACAAGTAGTAAGATAAGAACCAGCCAACCACTTGATTAATCCAAAAAGGGCAGAATCACCATGAACCAAAGAGCACAGATGATTAACTTTTTAATCTAACCAAGGCTTTATATCAAATCTCAAGATCACCATGTCTAAGAACTCCTAAACCACAAGGACCATATTTTATTTTGTCCAAGACAATTAAAATAACTGGTGGCTGCTAAGAAACTGATGCAATTAGGGTTATTATTTTATTTTTTATTCTTTTTAGGATACTTAGATTTAGGTTTAAGATTATATGAGTTTCGAGTTTTCTTTTAGGGTATTTGTGTCTTTCCTTCTTTTGTAGAGAACATAGTAGAATTCGAAGTTTAATTTTTAAAAGATAAAAGGGTTAGAATTTAATATTGATTAGGGTCTCTTAGGGAGCAAGTTAGGCTTTAGGGTTTTATTCTATAAATGCATTAATATTGGACAAGAAAGAAGAGAAGAGAAAATAATAATTGATATTGGGTCATGTGAAAAGATCTCAACCTTTGGGGAGTACTCCCTTATCGATTAGAGAAGGTATATTCCCTCACCATGTATCTTTATTTTTATTTTTTTGGCTTGTATATTTTCTTTCTCCCTTCCCCCGACATCAATTGGTATAAGAGCTTCAAAAGATCCATCCATCATGTTGTCGGCAAACCTTGCTCTTTGGATTGAGGATATTTTGTCACAAATCATAGAAGTTGTGAAACAACAAATCAAACTGGGCATACATCAAATCATGAAAGGTAGAAGAGTACAAATTAACAAAATTCGAGAGATCAGTAAACTTTGGGGAGTCGTGAAATATATCAAAGTTTGGAATGATTAGGAAATATCGATCAACCGTGAAGAAGGTTCATGCAATCCCATTGATCTAGTGCCAAATCTCATCCAAGGGATGAATTGAGCTTCATGACCATTGCCAGGGGCTGATCCCTTACGTAACAAGTAAATTTTGAAGCAAGAACCACGATATGAGGAACATCCTCATGATCTCGGTATCAAAGTCGATCATCCCGAGTTCCATCACGAGCATGAAAGAGAAATAAAAAATATGCTCGACATCCCAATGTTCCACAACAAGTTGAACATTTAGTATTTAATAAACAGGTTCTTTGAAGAAAACGAAGTACCTAGGTGAATGGTGAGACTTCATTTCCCACTATTGAAATGCCGTCTGAAGGATGTGATGAGGACAGCAAACTTGAGGTTGTGATTCTCCCAACCCAAGGAGAATGATGCAATTGGGGTCTTTTATTTTTTTATTTTACTTTTTTTGGAGACAGAAAATTTAGGTTTTGGGGTTATTTGGGTTCTAGTTTTATTTTTGGGTATTTGTATCTTTTTTTTGTTTAGAAGTACTGAGGAGAGAATTGGAAGTTTGATTTTTTTAAAGATGAAGCATTAGGAGGGTTTTCTATGGAGTAAGTTGGGTTTCAAGGTTTTCTTCTATAAATATGTAAGTATTGGACAAGAAAGAAGAGACAGAAGAATAATTGATTTTGGACCTTGCAAAAAGATCTCAACATTTGGAATGGCCTCTCTCATGGACACCCTGAGAAAAGGTATATTCTCTCAACCTTTATTTTTACTTTTATTTTTTTGGTTGGTTTATTTTCTTTCTTCCTTCTCCCTACATAAAAAATAGTGAAGTATCAGTACTAATTGGCACATTCTCTCTAAAAGTTATATTTAGGATGCCCATAATTCAAAACAGTTCTAAGTATCCTAGCAAAATAAATAATACTTGTGTGAAAATGGTACTACTCATGGCCCAAACTTGTGAGCAGATTTTTATGTTGCCAATGGTATCACAGTCGGAGGTTCAAAGTTCAAGTGACAAGGGAACTGAATAAGACTATCACAAGGAGACAAAATAAGAAGTGTGCATTGAGTATTGGGTCAAAACATGCCATATGGCACTCGACATGATGACAAACAAACCCTACACTTACCCATCGATCATTCTTCGCATGAGACTGATGAAGAAAAAAGCGATGACAGAAAATTATTGCCGTAGCTATTGTCGCCTGAGGGCTGCATCAAAGAAAGGTGCTTTAAATTGTGTCTAAAAAAGAAATTGATGATACAAAGGAGTGTTTTAAATTCTGTGTTTAAAGAAGAAACTGATCATACATAAAAACAGTGAAAAATTAAAACGTGATGTATATTGAGCTTCCATAAGATGAGAACAACAGCAGCAAACAAACCTAGAGCCATAGAGATGATATCTCACATTTGCTGCAAGTAAATTTACACTCTAGTTTATTCAGCTAGAGATTACTCTCTAGTGTATTTAGTTAGAGAACCTTAAAGAGCTACAAGTCTTGAACAATCAACTCAAGTAAAAATTTCGCGAAGAAGTAATGAACAAGAATTTAAAAGAGAATAAAACAAAAGGGTCATTTTTGCAGAAAAATTTAAAATATTGCAGTATATGAACATTATTGTTACAGAACCCTGGGCATAGACAAGGAAACCTCAGTAGCAATAGACAAGTTATCAAAAAATAAGTAAAATAAATACATAAATATCTAAACAGATGTATGATTTGGACACCAGTGTCTTGTGTCTTCTTTCCAACTGAGGCATCGAGAGTAGATATTACAATGTCCTTATGAGCTGCAATGCCAGTCAATTGCAACTAACTCAAATATGATAGTCTGTAATTTCAAGAAGGAAAATTTCGCCACCAACGATTGTTATATTAGTTTAACATAAATCAATCGAACTACAATCCTCAGGTACCAGAACAGACTAGTAAAGCAGGAAGACACAAAAGCATATATGCTTATATCGCACAACAAGTTTCCATTTTGTTTTGTAGGGAACAACCCGAAGCAAACATTTGAATAGGTGGAAATCTAGCTGCTGAATGCACACACTGCATCATGCAGTCAAGTTTTACAACAAGATTATCCAATTTGTACAGTTAGGACTAACAAGTATTCTTCTAGCCTATAAAAGCTAATTCACAAATTTACAAGGAGCAAAGGGAATCATATTTGAATATCTGTCTATTGAGATTATCTGTAAGTTGACTAATAGGTACAAAATAATACATGGCAAGAGCACACTCATACACAATAAGAATAACAGATCATAAGTTAGAGCAAATAACATCAACTAAGGCGAACTTACACTTCAAGACGCATCCCCAAATCCTGAATAAATGTGCCATATGATGTACGGAACTTATTCTCTTTCTTCAAATCAATTCCATCTCTTCTAGATGGGGAATTCTCCTCTATTTCATTCCGGGTAAAGAACCAATTAAAGCTAGAATTATCTGGCTCCACCAGATTGTCACGAGAAGAACTGTATGAACCACTTTCCAACATTTCCTGATGAGATGGATCCCCAGATAACAATCCTGCCATTTTATCCAGATTGAGTAGGATATCAAGATCCAAGTAATGCATTCAAGCCCAGTTCCATAAATGCTTAGTCTCTTGAAGAAATCTTTGTGTATCAAATTCAGTTTTCTGCCACAAACCAGCAGAACTTAGTAAACCATATAAGAAGAAAAGATCAATATGCTATTGTATACAAGTAAAGGGACATTTATTTCATGTGTGAAGGTGTAAAGCTCTTTTTCAGAAATTATAATTAATGACAGCAAATAAAATATTGGAAAAATTACATATATATCCATTATAGTTTGCGTTATTACAGCTCTACCGAATAGTTTCCGTTATTACCACCGTGTTCGTTTTTTTCATGTCAAAACGAAAATTTTAAAAAAAGATGACTTTACCCTTTTCAGGTTGTTGAACAACAGAATTCAATGTATTTTCGGTTGTTCAACAACCGAAAATACACCAATTTCAGTTCTTGAAGGACCGAAAATTTACGGTTTTCGGTTATTGAATAACCGAAAGTTTTAGCGGGTCAAAGATTCAAAGATATCCAAACAAAAAAATAGAAAACAATTTTATTATACTACTCATTTCAAATTGCAAACCCAATATACATAAGTAATACATTTTCAAATACAAAGGCAACATCCAACAACACATTTAGCAACATTAAGCTATTAATTTTAAATTGCAGATGAATTCATTTCGAGTTCTAATAAAACCCCCAAATTTGTAGTTCTCAATAACCCCAAATTTAAAAATTCTTAAACAATAAATAAGAAACAAACATAACTCAATAACTCATGTATATCATTCAAGATCTAAAAATAACCCCAAATTTACAGTTATTAAAAACCCCAAAAAATTACACTTCTTACTATCACTCAAACAAATTGTCATTTATGGATCTGTAAAATCCATCAAATAAACCCTAAATCGATCGCTTCTACTCAAGTGTGAAACCCTAAATCATAATCTTATACAATATTGACTTCTAAAAATCGAACAACAAATCAGATTATACATACCTGTACTACAGATTTGAAATCCGTCAAATGCTTTAAAAATGCGTCAAATGCAGTTATGATCCGTCAAAATACTTGTATCCAGATCTAAATAATCGTTTTGAATGTGAGAAAGATAAGAGAGAGTGAGAAATGGGGGGAATGAGAAGATAATTGAACCGGTGAAGCCCAAGAAACAGATCCAGGATTTTAAAACGAGCCCCGCCCAACTTCGGTTGTTGAACAACTGAAAATTGGATAATTTTGATTGTTGAACAACCGAAACGATAGCGGAAAATTTAAAAGAGCTAATCCCGTTTTCGGTTGTTGAACATCCGAAAATACATTGAATTCGGTTGTTCAACAACCGAAAAAGGGTAAAGTTTTTTTTTTACATGAAAAAAACAGACACGGTGGCAATAATGGAAACTATTCGGTAGATCCGTAATAACGCGAACGATAACGGATATGTATGTAATTTTCCTTAAAATATTTTACGAGGTTATAGAAATCATGTGTGGTACCAAAACCTTTCATTTGAGGTGCACAACAGCCTCAGAAGCAAATAACTAATACAAGAAATCCTTAAATATTGCTAATGGCCATATCACAGATAAAACACAATATATTACAAAACAATTTTTGATTGCTTTTTAATATTAATGACAAGCCAGAATACTCTCATCTTTCTGTACATGCTTAAATAAAACAAAGAGATATTCAACTAGGCCTCTACTCTCACACTACCTACTATTTCATCTTTTCTTGGACAAAAATTGCCACATATGGAAACTCCGGGGCATTCATCAAGTCATCTTCAATCATGTGATGCTATAGAGGATTCCAAGGCTGATATTGGATCAAAGTCCACACCCTTTAATCTTGGCTCCAAGCTGCATCTCTATCTTCAGCCACTTATGCTGCACTTTTGCCTCCCATTAAATTTCATCATGTCTAGTAATGTCTTCCTATTCTCTCCTCAATTGCACACTTCTAGGTCTTTCTCTTTGAAAGGCAAGTTGGTATCCTCCTCTATGTTATTAAGACCGGACAGGAGGTTGAACCAGTGGCGGCACCAGCCCAGTCAGACTGCTCCAACTCAACAGGTTCACTAGTTAGACAATTCAAAAATAAAAAATAAAAAACAAACATGAAAATGAATAAAAAATTGAAGAAGAATAAAGAAAATGTTAAAAAGAAAAGAAAAGAAAAACCAGAAAACAATTCAGAAAAATATTAGGTCCATTGAAGTGTTAAAGGACCAAAAATAACACAAAAGGAAATTAATCCCTTTTTATTTTCAGAACTAACAAACAATCTTCACTTTTTAATATTTTATGCAATGGTCCTTTTTATCTCAATTTTTTGTTTTTGGGAATACTTTGTGTCCGGTACTTCAAATACCGGACCCCATTAAAAATATTTTCTTTGAGAACTCGAACTGACACATGAAGTATTGGATGGACATTTCCATGAAAGTGCCAGGCCATCACTCCAAATGTGGACACAGATTTGGCAGTTTTTCGCAAAGTCAATTCAGTGCTTAGAATGTCGGACCGCCTTATTATCAGTCCGGCACTTCAAGTGCGGGACTGACTGGGAAAAAAATAGAAAATAAAAATGAAACAAGGGGGATGGGTTTAGAGAGAGAGAAAGAGGATGGGTGGGGGCTGAGCTGACTTTTGAGAAAGGGAGAGGGAGGGAGAGGTAGAGCAAGAGAACAAGGGAGGAGGAGGTGAACGGGGTGGGGACTGGACAAACTTGGAGTGTCAGCCCATACTACTATAGAGAAGTTGGTCTCATGTTTGAAATCCCAAACCGAGTTGACAAATGAAAAGTTGGTTTGGAATTTGAAATCCCGGGCCCAGTTCTCAAATAAAAAGTTGCACACGCACTTCGGTACTTGAAGTACCGAAGCAAGAGTACCTTGGGGGCAAAAATTAAAAAATGACGAAAAAGGGACCCCGGTGTAAAATAAGGAAAAAAAAGGTGGTTATTTTTTAAAGTTAGAAATAAAGAGATTTTTACATTAGTTTCTCTAAAATAAAAAAAGTAAAGGAAAAATAAAAAAATTTCTAATCTTATACACAAACTACCAAATAAATAAGCAAATGCCCAAAACATTAAACTTTGAAAGCAAAACAAATCATTAAATTGAAGGAAAAGTAGATCATGCATCAGGGAACACACTTCCCCAATAGCATCCCTGACACATTAAACAGCCATCGTGTAGATGAATGTTCAAGAACAGTGGCCCCGCCGAAACTTGAAGTTGAGGGTGTTAAAATAATATCTCATTTTTATTTTTAAAAATTAATTTTTTAGAATAATGCTCATCATGATTTAGATTTTCAATCTTTAAAGTTTTAGATCCAAAATCCATCTCTAAAATAGCTCTTGGAGAGAGGACTGTTTAAATATATGATGTGGTAGACTCATCAAAAGCTTGTACAAAAATTGAATGCAAAAACAATCCATTGCATCGATTTGAAAAAGAAAGAAAAAAAAAAGACATTCAACTTTTGCTTAAACCCTAAAAATTTTGAAAACTTTTATTAACTTGAAATAGAGTGCATTGAAGGCAGGACTCCCCTCCGAAAGTTGTTCGATTGCTGCCCATGATTTGCGATTTTTCAGGTAGAATGAGAGAAAACATAGCCCTCTCTCTCTCAAATTTTTTAAACCCAAAACCTCCCAAATGGTTAATAAAGCGGCCCTAAACATTTCAGAGAAAAAAAAGAGAGAAAGAAAGAGAAGAAAGAGAAGAAAACCAAGAATGACCTAAAATGACACAAAAAAAAGAAAAAACTGGGTCCTTTTTTCTGTCATTTTTTACCAATTATTGGAACCCGGTCAGTTCGGTCTGCACTAGTCAACCTAGCCAGTCCAGACATCGAACCAGCAGGTTCAATGGTCCTACCAATTTAGGATCCCAGATGCCACCAATAGGACCACTGGTTTTCGGTCCGAACTAGCCTATCCAATCAAGTCTTACTGACATTCCTCACCGTTAAGAGCATTTATCCATCTTAGTAAGGCAAATTTTTAACACCCAGGTGATTAAATGAGCATTTGTTGAATTCTTAGCCTTTATAGATGCAACTTCTTACCAACCCTGAAACCTATTATTCCAACCCTTGCGTATTCCACATTCCACCAATTAGTGAAAATCATGCTTAAGTTCTGGATAGTCGAAACCATAGTTACCGGGAGCAAGAGCGACTCTGGCTCCAAGAGTGGGAGCGTCAGATCGACAGCTACCCAAAGCTTCAGAGCTCGGGGAGCGAGTTTCGGTGATGGTAAAAGTAGCAGATAGAGATCTCGTATGAACAAGGAGCATGTTCCCAATACATTGGGATCTAAATCCTTATTTAACGGGTATGAGTTCCATGTCAGATGGGATCGTGTTCCCATATTCATTAGGATCGCAGTCCCATCGACAACAGTATAGTGCCCCCATCTAAGAATGACCGTGTTCCTATTTGGACAGGAACGAGCTCCATTCAATGAAGGATCACGTTCCGTGCATGATTAGTCAGCGCTCCCATCGCAAAACTCCACTTGTATGAAAATTTGGCTTATATAATTATTATATTTTAAAAGTCAATTTTATGTAAAACGTTTCTTTTAGGAAGTTCCGAGAACATAGGGATAGAGTTCCGGGGTCGTAGGAATCGCGCTCCTAAAATTCTGAGAGCGGGGATCTAATTTATTTAGGAACGAGATCTACAATTTTAAGGAACATGTTCCGTGTGACAGTGGATCGATCATTTGTGCATGGGATCGAGAATCCTATAACTAAGAGCCAGCTCTTGAAAATTTTAAAATGAGTTCGGTTGAGATCCAGGTCATGAAACGCTGGAGCTCATTTCCGGAGTGGAAACGCCACCCTAGTTGGGCGTTCCCAGTAACAATGCTCCAACCGCATATTTTAAATCGAGAGGTGAAGGAGCCTCAAGGCATGGGGTAGGTTGGAATCATAATGGGACAGCAATTTAAGGATGGCTCAGGTCAAGCTTATTACATCGCAACTGGGAACTTATATTCCCAATCTCCAAGTGAGAGAAACCTGACAAAGCAAGTCATAAATGGTTCCTCCTCGCTATTGGACCAAGTGAGGCCCTTCCCAATGCAAAGTCAGAATATCTCTCCATACTGATGGTGAGGCTGGTGCCCCATTTTTTCTCATAGGAGAATCTAATCGTACTAAAACAGCCCCCAAGACACAAATGTTCCTGCCCTAATGATCCTCCACTTGACCCAAATTTTACTTAGAATCCCCTTCCAGCCATAGCGTTTGGACTGTATGCAATAGTAAGAATCTAAGTGAGCACAAACATAGTGCAATCCAACAGACACCAAAAAGTTCCTAGTGGCCAGCTCACTCTCCTTAGAAAAGCATCAACCATTGGAAAAAACAATTATGCCATTGCCAATTGACCACTATGCCCTCTTTAATCATAGCTGCCTAGGCATGTCGAGTCTCACATGCATGGAAGGATGGAAGGAGCATTCAGTGATAGCACGAACGCACTTTGATGTCCTTTTCAATCCCTTCAGGGACTTACGGCTCTACCATAACTAGATGTTAGTGCTCCTAGCCATACTAACGATCTAAAAGAACATCTTCACATTGCTTCAGTCCCCCTTTCAATGGAATTTGAACATCTTCAAGGGTATTACTCCTAGAGATAGGCATTGAGTGAGTCCCCCTTTCAATGGCATTTGGCAGATATTATCAAGGGTATTACTCTTAGAGAATCCATTGTATGAACCTTCATGCATGTCTACGGTAAGCTAATCAGATGGAAGATGACCTTGCTAAGGAGGCAGCAGGATTGAGCTCCTTAACACTTATGGCCCTTCTCCATTATACTTCTAAATCACCACTTTCAGACACAAATCTCCACCTCCATCCACCTTCTTTTCCCTTTTTCCTTTGATGTATACATGCCTGGTTGTATGTAGATCTTGAGAGCACCTTGATGTACATCAATTCCCCCTAATTAATTTTAGCTATACAAATAAAAAAGAAAATAATGGAATTCTAGAATGCCATGTAGGTCAAAGAGAAATCATTTTATGGGGGTCACAGGGGTTGGAGTAAGCTTTTGGGGAATGTAGATCAAGATCAAGCATGACTAGCATCAGTTCTTGTAAACATAGTTTTGATAGAACTTGCACTGATGCAGATCAAGCATGACTAGCAGCATTTCTTGTAAGTCGGAACTTGCACATTTCAGTAAATATCCCCCAAATTTTCATCAGAGACCCAACCAGCCCAACATTGCTCCCAGTGAAATCTTCACAAGCATTTTAGGACACATGCATAGGCACAAAAGGCCTATCATTAATCTCATTCTCAACATACCATACATATGCAAAGGCTTGACCAGGCAGTTACCAACAGACACACATTTTAGCAAAGGCACACTAAGCACATCAGCATACTTTTATGAAGCAACTGCATCAGCATGTCACTACACCAAGCTGCTACTTTCAGGCAACACAAAAAATGGAAAAGCCCTCGAACCCATTCTAAATGAATCAAAATATCATTCAACTCTCCAATAGAACCTCAGTGACACTTTGTATGCCGTATACAATGCAAGCAGGTAAAAATTCGACTCTCAATGCCAACAAGCTAGACCCAATTTTCCTAGATGAAAATAAAGTTAAAGTCAGTTAAGTGAATTACATAGTAAGCAGGATTTCCGTCTAAAGAGGCTACGATGTAATGCAACTAGAGCACGTAAAATCTTTGATCTAATTCCCGACAAGCTAGATCTAACATCCTTATTTGAAACCATACTCTGGCTAAGTTGTTAGATCACAATTGATCAAAATAGGAACTAAGTTTTCAATTGTATATTATCATTTATTTATCAAAACAAGTATGAAATATGTCAATTTGTACTCATGGACAGCAATTCTAGTTGCCATGCCCATTCAGTTGTATGGTCCATATGCTTGTACATATGTAAGCATATCTTTGTTGCATAAAGGAAACGGACTTGACATTGGCATTTGGGTGTTGATCACACATACAATAGAAAGATGCGTCTACAACTAGGCTAAGTATCAAAGAACAAGCTCCTGCAAATTAGTTGTCATCCAAATTGGCCTTCTAATATTTGTGGCCAAAGGTAATGATCTCATTGAAACAAAAATTCAAAATCACTTTAATGACATTAGCAATCCTCCCATTTAAAGTGGGGATCCCATACGCAGCCATCCAATGACATCGAGGGAGTTTACTTTTACAACAAGCAGACAGTAGTAGGACTACAAATTCTCAAATTGCAGAAGCAGAAAGCATCCATGAAAGCCCATCCAATTCCCGTATGAAACTCTCACACAATGCCCCCAACCCTTGAAAACCAAGGTACTTGAACAAATTATCATCAAATTCACATTTGACAAAATTATATAGAGGATGGTGTCCAATCAAAACGAAGTCTCAACCACCAACATATTCATCCTTAGCCATAACCACATGCTAGCTCTAATCCCTCGAAACTCTTGGAAGGTGAGTGCCAAAGGAATCCATCACCACGAGATATGAAATTTTAAAACTAATAAAAATATTATCAAAGAAAAAAAGTTCTTGAAAGGGCATTTGGAAGGTATAATACATGTTTGGCACTAGAGTTTGAATCCCGCAATAGGTCCGTTAGAGGTGTCTGTACAAGCTATAAGACACAGATTCCTTTTAGACGCAAGAATTATTCAAGGATCTTTTTCTTTCATCTTTCTTGCTCTCTCTATATTCCTCTCCCTAGATCGCTCTTCCCTTAGCTCAGAGCTCTCTCTCTCTCTCTCCTTTCACAGACTGCTTCTCAGGGCTGCCCCAATTGCAAAGTGGTCATCGCCAACCACTAGCCGTGGTTTTTGTACTTTCATTTCTTTTAACACGAGTTTTTAACCATTTTGAAAATAATATTTATACAAATAAATAAAAGGAAAAATATAAAAATATGAAAACATCAGAAATTTTATCAAACAGATATACCAGAAAAACTTGGGCATAGAGAGAAAGAGAGAGAGATCATAGTTGCAATTCCTACGAGAAGAATGAACCAGAAATCGAAATTCAATAAACCGCAATTGGGAACTGGATTTCCGAGGCCCCACTAGAGAGAGAGGAAGTAAAAAAAGAAGAAAAAGAAAAGAGAAGCTTCATACAGTGCATTGGTCGATCGCGAGCAAAATAAAAATAGGGATACAGTACCCAAACAAGAAACTAGAGATGAATTAAACAAATTGAAGAATCAGTCTTTCTCTTCGAAAGGGAAGATAAAGAATGAGATTTCCAGATCCTACCTGTTGCTCGAAGACGCTTGTGAGAGGAAGAAGGAGACGGATGCGCAGAAGCTATAGAGAGAGAAAGGAGCGAGTGTAGAGAGTAGAGAGAGAAAGGAGCGAGGGTAGAGAGTAGAGTGAGACTTGCAGAGCGAAATGGTCAGGAGTCTTAAGAGCTTTTTATTGCCTGGGCTCCATGTTCAGTTTTCTGCAACGGAAAATTAAGCAACGAGAAAAAGATCTCGTGCTCCTGCAGGAGTATTTGTTCATTTATTTCCACGGGTAAAAAACCCTACTAGGCCCCAAATTCTGGGGTGGAACTCCTAAAAAAAAAGGAAGGGTGCAAATTATCGCCGCTGATATTTGAGGTCATATTTTTTCTTTGATATTTCACTCATCGATGCCTTCTCAATTTTTTTTAAAAAAATACCCAAATTAACCTTTGAAATATAACTCGTGCTTTTTGTATAGAGTCGAGGCTCTAAACAATCAAATTAAAGCCCACCTTCAAATAGTGTCAAAAAATGTGGTTTGAATACTGAAATTTTTTGACTAGCTTTAAAATATATTTTTATCTATAATTATAAAATTTAAAGCTTAAAAAATAGTGTAGATCAAGCAGATCTATGTAAACTTGAATAACTTAAAAATTGACGGTCCAAAAATACGCTACAAGATGCCCTATTTCCAAAACTTGAAATCTATTTTTTCTCAAGTCCATGCATCTTGATGTCGAGATTATCAATTTGAAGACACTTGGGCATCAAAACAATCTCTTCTAGTGAAATTTTTTATGTAGGTTCTAATTTGATTGTTTAGAGCCTAGGCTCTATATAACCTTATCGAGGATTTGAAATATAGAACAATGAAGGACATTTTAGTGATTTAACATAAGGAGGCATCACTTAAATAATAGAAATATCCCTAGTTGGTCTGCATTGCAAATAAAGAAGGCTTTGTTTAGCATTTGTAATGCCAAGGGGGATATTTTTATCATTATTCACCATTGCATGTATAAAATGATAAAAATACCCCTAATCGTTTTGTATTACTAATATAGAATAATGTGTTTCCTATGTGTATTACATGTTCCTTATTTATAATTTGGAACAACTAAGGGATATTCTCATCATTTGGGTGAGGCCTTATAGGCCAAATTACTTAAATACCCCTTATTGTTTCTCATTTCAAATAGTAAGCAATGTAACTAAGGAATTCTTAAAAGAAAATGCATGCTCTCAAATGTTAGTAGAGATAATTTGACCAATTTAATAATATTTTGAGGGGATTCATTCCCTTTAATGATATTTTTGCAAAAAAATATTGTCGCAAGATTTAATAAATAATGTATAATTTTTGGAGGGTGAGATCTAATTGTTAGAAAACTTAAAATTCAATTTTTCACTTTTAAAAATAATCATCTAATGATTCTTAGGTGGTTTTCTAAACTTGTAAATTGAAAAAATCCTTCCGAGTAAGCCATTTGAGTAAGGGAGTAAGGGTACAAGATGCTCTCATGAGGGCATATAGTATACGCGCTTAGATTTCTAGTATGTCAAGCGATATGTTTGACAAGGTTTATATATCCAAATTTTTAGAAATTTGAATAAAAACATTGTCTGGCCTTCTATATATTTGGATTTTATATTATCTTGATATATGTTTTTTATATATTTGGATTTTATAATATCTTGGTATATGTTTTTGGTGTCCACCTGACTTTTTGTGATCATTCAAGTCCATAGTATGCATCTCTTAAAAAAATTATATGTTACATGACTATGAATTAAACCCTTCTCTATTCTCTCATCTAGCAATTTTTCGTGTTCTATCATTTTATCCATTTTTCTTTTCTGACCATTTGAAAAACCAAAGCATCAATTCTTCATCTACTTTCCATTGCAATAAAATCTCGAGCAGTTTGTGATAACCCACTTCTCCAATTTTGGATTCGAGCATTCTAGTGTTGTTTTGTTTATACACTGTGGCAAACCCTAGATTTGAATCCGTCCAAGTCGATGGTATGAGAAGATGAAATGGGTTATGTCGATAAGGGAACGAGAAGCATGAGAGAATTGGGAACGGGGTTGAGGCTGTAGTGGTAACACCACTTGAGCCTCACCGCCGGTCTAAGTTTTCATTCCCACTTACACATTAAAAAACCGTTCATTATTTTTAAAAATAGGTAGGTGCTGTATTCTACACACCAAAAAAAAAAAAAAAGCATGAGAGAACTACCTTGGAAGCGATTCCATCAGCCAAAACTAGAGAAGGAAAACGCATTTTTCTCGTAGTGAAAGTAAAAAAAAAAACCAGAGCTCCTCCCCGTCGGCTACCCTTTTGGCAACTAACCATTTTTTTTAAAAAAAAATAGAGTGAGAAATAAAATCCAGTACATTCCTCTAGTCTCGATAACCCTATAGGGCTCCCTGTTCCCAAAATCTAAAGAGAGAAAAAAGCGGAGGCATTCTACATGCTAGAGAAAGAAGTTGTTTTTAGAGAAAGAGAAAGAGTTCCTCAAACCTAATGAGAGAGAGTGAGGGCCACATGGAGATTTGAATCCGTCCAAGTCTGTTCAAGCTTTTAGTAGTTTCTTTAATGGTGGGTTATTAGGCCCTTGCTTTGAATTAATTTTGTCTGCTATGGCTCATGAGAAGTGGAGCTAGACAGCCTTATTCCATCTAGAGCTCTGGGGCCTCAGCCATGGTCATAGAGAGAGAGGTAGAGTGCATGAGAGACACAAAAACTTATCGACCAATAAATTGAATCTCAAAAAATTCAACTCAAAGCTGAATTATTAAGTATTCTTATATTGGAGAGTTGATATAGCTTAGGAAAAATATCTCCACAGACCCCATTTTCAACTTTCATTTCTCCATTCACTTAAGGTTGCAAAACCTATCTTACTACATAAAAATTCACTTTATTATATATGCTAACCTCTTAAATATATTTTATTCATTTTTTACTAAAATTTTTTTCCCAAACAAATTTTAAAAAATATTGTTTCTAAACCCCTCACTCTTTTGACATGATTCCCTTTCTCTCTCCCCCGATCAACCTCCCAAACCCATCTCTCGCTCAATCTCCCCCAACTCTTTAGAGTCGGGAACAACTGATTGATTGCAACCTCCAAAACAAGCTATGTGATCTTGTTAAAGGCCACCATTTCTTCAAATTTAGTTGGAATTACACCATTTTCTGGCAAATTTCGAGCTCGAAATCTAGTGAGTTGGTTCTTGGATGAGGAGATGGCTCCTACAAAGAACCCAAAGAAGAAGATGTAGTTTCATAGAATAGGTTGGATCTTTGTAATGAAAAACAGATCCAACAAAAGATGAGGAATAGGGTGCTGGAGATTCGTCATTTGTTCTTTGGGGGATCAGATGACAAAAACTATGAATTGGTTCTTGATAGGGTCTCTGATACTGAGATGCTTTATCTATTTTTCATGTACTTTTTTATTTCCTAATGGGTTTGGAATTCCTGGTAGAGTTTTCAGAACCAGGAAACCTTTGTGGCTCTCTGATGCTCCTAACTCCTCGGCCGAGTACTGTTACAAGACTTTCATAGCAAGGTTAATTGGTGATACATGGCTTGGATGGCTTCATTTTCCCTCTATCTCCTCAATCATATTTCTCCCCACCCAATTGCCTGAAAATTATACCGCTCCCCTCACTTACTTGTCGGCAAATTATACCTCCCCCAGCATCTACTTGCTTGAAAACCACACCTCCCCTCCTCACTTACTCGCCGGGAAACTACACTACCCCGGTCACCTGCTCGTCGAAAAACTATACCTCCCCCAATACCTACTCACCGAAAAACTACACCCTCCCTCTGACCCGTTCGACGAGAAAAGAAACGCCATCTCTTTTCCCAAACATTTTTTGGACGATCTCGATGCATTCATCTCTGGAAAAGGAGATTGCTGGGAAGGAGATTGCGGGATCTCGCCAGAAACGGTGCCCATGTACTCTACAATCTCCCGGCTTCCACCATTGTTGACCTGGAAAGAAATGGGTTCAAAAGAGAGCAGAAGAACTCTAGAGAGAGAAACACGTGAGGAGAAAGAGAGTTAGAAAAAGATGTCTTTTTTAATTTGTTTGGGTTAAATGTTGAAATAAAAATAGATAAAGTCATTTGGACGGGTTAGAAGATAGGTTTTGAAATTTTTGGTTTAGAAAGAAATGAAAGTTGAAAATAAAATATTTTCCCTATAGTTTAACCATCAAACATGACATACAAACTAATCTAATTAAGATTATGATAGATTCTATATTATTAGGAAGTATGAGAATATTAGAGTGCTATCAAACATACCCTTAAATAGTGAAGTTCAACATATGAATTCTCATGTTTTTAAATGATATACAAAAAGTAAGAGTTTTAACTCAAGTCCATTTACCTTTTAAGAATGATGTGAGACTGAAAAATAACAGTAGATAGGGGTATTTTGTGTGTAAAAAATTGTTCTTTTTAGTTTTGAATAGTACTTTGATAACAACATATTGAATTGGGGCAATCTGAAATAAAGACCCTACATGCACATGTGAACATGTACAAACACCCATATTTTTAAACTCGCTCTTAATAAATATAGTACAAGTGCGCAATGTGTTTTTGAATGGGTTGGTGGGCCATTCATGTTTCTAATACATGACTAAACTCCTGGGTGGCCAAGAGGGAGGTCCTCATAGCCAACATGTTTTGAGTGGCAACATAAAAAAATGTAGTTTATAAGAGGACAGGGTTTGGTGTGTTAACTGATACTTCTATTCAAATGCAGTCTCTTTCAAAAAGCATCTTAGAGATGGATTTTGGATCTAAAATTTTAAAAGTATTATCGACAACCACAATCATGAATATAAAAACAAAGACTATTTTGAACCTTTAAAACTAGAGTATGTTAAATTTTACTTTTGTATTTATTATTTTTAGGAATTGTATACAATGAGACCATTTACTTTTGATACAAAGAGGTCACAATTACTTACAACCATCCGATGTGAAATTTGATAGTTTAGATGTATTAAAAAATCCGAGAAATTTTTTATTGAAGTTTGAGCTTGGTCAATAGAATAATACAACCATCTAATTTCACATCCAATTGTTAAAATTAATTGTGACTACCTTATATCAAAAATAAATGGTCTCATTGTAAACGTTTCCTTATTTTTAACTCTTCACTTATCATTAACATTGCACTATTATTTA